TCTCAGCGGTGCAAAAAAGCCCACACTCCTACTCACAGGCGGCCCAAACTCATTACATGAACGCGGACGTGACTCTTGCTTGCGAGCGGTGTTGTGTTACAAACGGTTATTTACAAAGGCTTGTATGGGATCGATCGGTTTTTCTTAAAAGAGATAAAAAATGTTATGTTTTTAAATAAAATCGACGTACCTTATTGCCTTGTTGTATTCTTTGTTGTTTGCCCGCGTCTCAGGTCGTTTTGAAGCGTTTTCGGCGAGTTAGCGCTATTTTGGTGTTCCACTGCTAAAAGAAAGACAAGGCAGAACAGTGATTCCCGAAGTGTCCGTCGCTCGAGGCGAATAATTCCACTGGAAAATTACCCCCGGCCTCAATTCCTTCAGAAATTCAAAGCAGAGATGTTGCAGTTCCATGTCCATTGACTCGATTCGCAATTCCTTCCACAGATCGTTCAGTAGCGATGCTTTCATCTCTTGCTCGATCGGCTTCACGATTTCAAAATAGGCTCGTCCAAACTGCCGTGGACCCGTTCACCGATCGAATAGTATGTCGGGTAACTAAAATAAGCCCGGCGAGGGTAGACAGCGGCCTGTAGTCGACAAACAAACAAACCCGTCAGCCCCGCTGGCTACCCTCATTGGGCTTATTTTAGTTACCCGACATACTATGCGATCGGTGAACGGGTCCACGGCAGTTTGGACGAGCCTAAACCGATAGATCCCATACAAGCCTTTGTAAATAACCGTTTGTAACACAACACCGCTCGCAAGCAAGAGTCACGTCCGCGTTCATGTAATGAGTTTGGGCTGCCTGTGTCCTACTCAGTAGCTATTTATGTGTTTTTTAAGTGAGAGAAGATTAGGGGTTAGGTTGAGGCGCGCAGGGTCTCATGGGAAGCCCTTCCCAAGAGACCCTGCGCGCCTCAACCTAACCTCCAATCTTCTCTCACCCCAAAAACACATAAATAGCTACTGGGTACGAGTTTGCAAAAAGCCCACTTCCACTTGACGTTCGTCGCTCAAAAACTTGGACGGGCGCAACAACTCCCAGCATTGTTGGGCCAACAATGTTGGGAGTTGTTGCGCCCGTGTTGGCAGAAGTGTACAAACGCAACTGCCCCCAACAATGCTGATCGTACTACCTGAAAATTAACTCAACAAGAGATCAACACGACACACAGAGCAGGATTGTAGCCGTAGAAAGCTGTTTCGCCATTTTTGTGGCTCATCGGTGCGGCGTAACAGATTCTCCGTCTGTTACGCCGTACTTATGAGCCACAACCCAGCCCTGTTTTGGGTTTTTTCGGTGTCGTGTTGCTGTCTTGCAAAGTTAATCAGCTTTGCAGAATTCAGTGTGTCTATTTTGTATATTTTTGCTGATCAGGTCAAGTAATTTTTGTTTCCCCTCAGTCCACTTCTATATAAATTTACCCTCGGTGACTCGAACCATGTTTTGTGCGCTTATAATGTCGGGAAAAAAAAAAACAGTGTACTGGGGTCCGAAACATTGAATTTTGAATTTTTCATTGACGTGTTGTAGGCATATAGTTTACTAGTGGAGGCTTGTGTTGTTTGTCACAAGTCTAACGTGAAATAGCGTTGCTTCTCAAAACAGTTAAGCGCAGTTCTATTTAGGCTGTTTTGTTACGTTACGCTCTGATGTATATTCTAGAAGAATTTTTTTCGAGAGCTTCGAGCTCCCGATAACACCAACTTTTTTCGATTTCCCTTGAAGGTTCAAGTTATCGGGAGTAACAATGTTGGGGCCTGCAGTGCATCATGGGAAGAATACAATCCATTAGATTTTGGAGACCATGTGTAATGCGCATGCATGGCCCTAACAATATTGGAAGAGCTGTGCAAACGGATCCAACATTGTTGCCCTAACTACGCCCCAACCTTCAGCGATCACGCAACAAAAGACATTTTGGAAGTTGCTGGCTCAAAAATTTAACCAGTTTCAAACTTGGGGCAACAATTCCCAACAATATGTAACGCAACATGTAACATTTAACAATGTTGGGAGTTGTTAGCCAACAACGCTGCGTCCGTTTGGACGGGGGGCTTAAGGCTAGCTATGTTCGCACTGTACAGGATAGCTTTTGTGCTAGCCTGTGTAACTCGGATCTGCTGACTCATACTGAAATGTAAACACGCCCTAATTAATTATTCATGAATAATCCAAAAAAGTAGAGAACGTTCGAGAAAGTCACGCAACGCATGTTTCGTTAAAATGATGCATTGTGAGTTGTTTCTGTTTTACAGAAACACGTCGTAAAACATTGAAATTTAAGTAGTATTTCGTGTTCGAAAGGAGGGCTCACTCGTGAAATGTTTTTCAACACTCGAAGAGAGATTTTATGTCTCTGCGCGGCCATGTAATATCCTCTATTTATTCCTCGAGTAAATTAAAGACTAAACCACAAAAATATCACAAAGTAGTCCGATTTCATTTCGTGAAATAGCCGAAACAAGCCGAAAAGTCGCGAACTTGCACGCCCAATCTTGTCCCGAAACTAGTACATAATTTCATATTTATTTTTCATATCCCGAACTACCTTGGGTCGCAGTAGCGTAATCGGCTAATCGCTCAACTTAGCGTCTCCTCTGACCTGACGAGTCACACAGGTGAGTCGGTTCAAACCCCGGGGAAGCCAAAATAATAATTCCTTCTACCTCAAAAAAGCTAAAGAATAAATCAAAGAAATCGAAGTGATCTCGAGATATCTCGAACTAATTCGGCTCTCACTTCGTCAAATAGCCGAATAAAACCGAAAACCTACAGACTTTGCATGCCCAATCTTGTCAAAAAAAAGGTAACTTTGATACATTCCTGAGCGTCGCGAATCCTTTACTTCGCGCTCCGCCGAAGTAATAAATTGAATTTGTTAACCACCGCCCGGTTAGCTCAATTGGATAAGCTTCAAACCCCGGCCAGATCAACACTGAGAGTCTTTAAGTAACTGGGAGAAAGTGCCGCCTTGGTAAAGAAATCTGCAAATGGTTACACTTTCAAGTCTTCTCGGATAAGGACGATAAACCGTAGGCCCCGTTTCACAACCCTTGCGCATAAAAATTCTGTGAGACGACAAGAAACCTACACACTTTTCGCAAAGATTAGGGCCGTAGTCCCAGATGTGGGGGGCTCTCTCTTACGGGGGAGGGACTGGTAAAGGGCCCGCAGTAATTGGCTCCACGGGCTGTTGATCATGAGGTATCCCTGCCAAGAATTGGCGAATCAGTCTAAGTAAATATTGGAGTTTGTTTCCCTTATCCGCAAATCACACACTTTATTAACAATTAACGTTTACATGAAGTTTATTTCCGCCCGCAAATGACAGGTGCTAGTCGAGGCGGGCGGAGATTCAAGGGAACAGCAGTCAGTGATAAATTGCAAATAAAAAATATGTATAAAGATAAGTAAGACATATTAAATTCTGCAAACAGAATACTGCAATGCTGATCGTACTACGTGAAAATTAACTAATTAATTTACTTATTGACTAATAAGTAAACAAAATTTTAATATAAATGAGTAAATAAAGCGTAAATAAATAACATTTAGAAAATCAACCATTTGTAACAGTTACTGGTAAATATAACTTGCGAAACTAAGTTAAGCTACTTATACTGTATAATTTTTTAAAGCAGAATGGGCGCTTCATCATAATCATCCTCGGCCTAATAATGAAAGTAAAATGTCATTGATATGTTTCTTGAAAGCTCTCTTTAAAAGTTGACGGAGTTCATCGTAAATGGAGTTCCAAAGCTTAGCTCCAAACCTAGCAAAAGAAACTTGGTCTGGATGTGGGTTAATGTAAAAATTACCGGAGGAAGAGAACCTTTATGAAAAGATTACTAATGTTACTGGGAACAGTTAAACATGAGACGTCGAACATTATTGAGGAAACTGTTTCAACGTATAACATTCTTAAAAGGGGATTTTTGAGGAGGTAAATAAAGGCACCGCTTGCGCTCTGGGTTCAGAAAAATACATCAACCGAAGGGACACGTTTTTGCATTACGAGGATATTTTGCTGATGGGATTTAACAGCTTGACCCCAAGCAGCCAAACCATAGGACAGCTAGGGTACTATCAAAGAGCGATTAATAATTAATAGAGTAGTAAAGGGGACGAGGTGCCTAAGAGGGACAATAACTACAATACTTCTACTTATTTTTAGTGCTACAGCTCATTACAAGTGACTGTCCAGTAAGACACCTGGATATTTTACATGATCCTTACACTCAAGGAGAGTAAGGAAGTGATAACTATTTAATTATCAAACATTTGAACTGAATGACCGAAAGGTCCATCTTGCGTTGGTAAGGACGAAAGATAACAAAGTTGGACTTTTTAGCATTTAATGTAAGCTTATTTGCATTGAGCCAATCCGAGACGTTCGCCAGTTCGCTGTTGACTGTTTCTTCAAGAGATTTTGAGATTTTTGTCGCCATACAACAAATTTGTGTCATCTGCAAAACGATAAAACGAAAATTTCGCTGAAGAGTTGTGAAAATCATTTATATAGATTAAGAATGACAAAGGACCAAAAACGGAGCCTTGTGGATCGCCACATGATATCTTAATAATGGTGGATTAATTAGAATCTATTTCAGTTACTTGTTAACGGCTAAGAAGGTACGAAGAAAACCAGTCGTTAATGATGCCCCTGATACCATAATGATTGAGTTTGTTTTAGTAACAATGAATAATTGACAGTATCAAAGGCCTTTTTTAAATCCACAAAGATCCCAAAAGCAAATAATTTTAGGTCCGTATTGTTTTGTGTGATATTATCAATGTCAATAGCAGCGTGTTGTGTAGTATGCTTTTCACGGAAGCCATACTGTGATTTATTAATCATAAATAGGATATCGTTTTTGTCAAGAAAGTTTTTGACCCGTTGGTACATCAATTTTTTCAAATATCCTATTAAAAATAAAAAATAATGAAGAAGACTGATAATTTCCGGGTTCAGTTTCATCGCAAATGATTCAGTCTAGCACAATGTTTTAAGGAAATTTTTCATCCCCCTGCGAAGCTCACGCATGCGCCAACAATAGATCAGAGGGTTTAAACAAGAGTTAAAATAAACTATTGTAACTGATAATCTTAAAGCTAACCCGATCTGGATGGGGTTCCAGAGTGCGAAGTGAGTGAACACTCTTACAAAAAGATAGGGAACGTAACAGATAAGAAATAAAATGAATATGAAAAGCATGCTGATAACTGATTTTCTATAGTTTTTCATGTTCAAATTTCCCTTTCCGGGTTGAGCAAGAACTTGCGCTTGTTTGTGGATTTGTAACCGATGTCGACGTGCAATACGGTAGATCACAAAGTATGCTACTGAGTTAACAACCAGGCAGGAAGTAAATATAACGATGTTAAGATCACGGTGTAGACGTCTTGAAAATAGAAGGGTTGAACCATAACCAATGCTTGCAATCCAAATGAGAAACAACACAATACAAGCCCGTTTTATTGTTAGGACAGCATTGTACTTGAGATGGAATGTTAGAGCCATGAGTTTATCCACGCTCACTGTTGTTAGTGTCAAAGCTGTCGCAGCAACAAAAACCGCTTGCACAAATCTAAACAGGTTCCAATAGTGTGCATTGTACGTTGCTGTTTTCAACTGAATAACCAAAAAGACGATGAACATCGGCTGGACGAACAAGCCGACCCCAAAATCGGACAGTGCAAGCCCAAAAAGAAAAATGTGTGAAGGGGAATGTAGAGAGGCAGTCCGCCAGATGGTTCCCAGAGCAGCAAAGTTTCCCAGGATTGCCGCTAAAGAGGACACGCCGTTAGCCATGCAAACTGCAGAGTAGATTATTTCAAGGTTTCCACTAAGTGATAAGTTCACTTCTTTACTAGATTGGTTTAGGGTATCTGGCTGCATCGTTTCGCAACAGTTCACTTGCTGCATGCTTATTCTTTCTTTCCAGAAGACGGCAGTAATACGTTTTTGTAATATGTGAGGAGTTCACGGCTTTTGATGGGAGCTATCATTTGGTCTTAGAAGATAATACAACACCTGGTGACGACTAATAATCTTTATCGTTGGAGAAATTATTTCCTTTATTTTTTGACCAATAGCTGCATTTTACTTTTGTTTCCATTTCGAAAGTGAGCGTCTGATTACCTTCTGTACGTCTAGTACTGGATAGTGACTACTTATTTGTCTTTGCCATATATTTCTCAGGTGTTTGAATTTTAATTCGAAAAAATTAATTTTACTGTGTACATTTTGGTGCCCCCTTTACAAAGTACTGCACTAATCATGTTGGCTTTTGACCAATAAGGAACGGGTATGTATTCACCTAATTTGCGTGTGCTATGAGGAAATCAATCAATTAGGCAAGCAAAGCTAGACAGAATATAATCATCACTTAAAACTTAAAATTTAAAATTAAAATTTTAATTTTTCCTTGAAGTGATGAGATTTTTCATAAGGAGTTACTCAAAGAAAATTCATATTGCAGGTAATCAAAGATCACCATGTCAAGTGGATAGAACAAACACCTGTGAATCGAGATTCCCTGCCCTAGGTCGATATAGATACTGCAAGATGAATCAAAAGAAGACAAACGTGATATTTGTGTTCGAGAATTTCTGCACAGCCTTGCCCTAACCCTAACCCTAACCCCTAACCCTAACCCTAACCCTAAACCTCTGCATAGAACGAGTTAAGAGGAGAAACCGCTTTCCCACATTTGGCAACTAGGCTGCTCTAGAGACAAAAACGTGGGATTGCAAAGGTCTCTGTTCAATTAATCTGAACTATGATCTCAAAGGCGCCTTAAGATTTGTTACACATCGAACCAGAGTATCTCAGACAAATGCGCCTTCCATCATAAAATATAAACAAAGTCAACAAACAAAAGAAGGCAAGAAGCTTGTAACTTGCACTAGAGTTTTCGCCTGTTCCCTCTCAAAGCGACGTGACTTTATCGTTGTGAGCTCAGATTAACAGTCAGAGAATGTGATTACACAGGATTGATTGATTGATTGATTCACTTTTATTTGAATACGGTAATTTCATAAGTTACATAACTTCTTTACATGAAAGCCGTATAGAAACAGAAGTAAATACTGTACAACTACACTAAAAATATGTACAAATAATAAAATATAGTAAAATGTAGTCAACAGTTTGCCTGCCTACTAGCCAGTTTTCTTTTAAAGATAGCTTTAGATTCAGACGCTTTTATGTCATTTGGTAATGAATTCCACAGCATTCCTCCTCTGTATGAGAAAGACCCCTTATAATATTCTGTTTTTGGAACGTGGTCCAGTACAACATTATATTCCGCATTTCTTAGCATAGACTTATAAGGGTTGTTCTCACAGACATTCGAGAAAAGATCGCTTAAGTAACTAGGTACATTTCCATTCACTGTATCATACATTAATAGACTTAAGTGCCTTTGACGCCTTGAGGCAAGCTCTTCCCAGTTTAGTTGTTTTCGTATTTGTGCTGAACGAACGTCATAACCTTGAAAGGTTATTATGCGTGCAGCACGATTTTGTAATTTCTGGATCCTAGTGGCAAGTCCCTGGTCTAAATTGTCCCAAACAACGTCGCAGTAGTCGAACACAGGCTGGATAAGAGATTTGTAAATAGTATTTAGAACATCTAATGGTACATAATCACGTGCCTGTTTTAGACCACTGATGGATCGATTGACTTTTGAACAAAGTTTGTCAACATGCTCGTTCCATTTAAGATTTTCATCTAAGTGAATTCCTAAATATTTTGTTGTTTGGACTCGTTTAACATGATTGTTGCCAATCTTAATTGGAAAGTCTCTTCCTAAGTTAGATAATTTGAAGGTAGTTGTTAAGAACATATACTCCGTTTTAGTGACATTTAAGCTTAACTTATTTGCAAGAAGCCAGTCCCTAACGCGAGTTAGGTCATTATTTACCTTGGCATATAGTTCAGCAGTGGATACAGAGGACGCATATATCGTGGTATCATCGGCATACATGTGTGCTTTGGTATGGAGAAGACATCCAGGGAGATCATTGATATAAATTAAAAACAACAAAGGGCCTAAAATTGAACCCTGTGGAACACCACAACTTATCAACTGGGGCTTAGATACACAGCCCTCTACTACACACTGCTGTTGCCTATTTGATAGGTACGATGAAAACCAGTCGAGCGTTACACCCTTCAGACCATAGAGCTCAAGCTTTTTTAATAAAATATTATGTGAAACGGTGTCAAAGGCTTTGGCAAGATCGAGAAGCACAATCAAATTGGTCATGCCTTTGTCAATGTTAAGATACCAATTATTTGTTAAATGTAACAGCGCTGTCACTGTAGAGTGAAGGGAACGAAATCCAGACTGGTTTTTTGTCAACAGGCCATTTGAATTTAAGTACCTGTATAGTTGATCGTAGACTACCCTTTCACAAATCTTAGAAATGGCTGGCAAGACAGATATTGGTCTATAGTTTTGTGCATCTGTGCGATCATCCTTTTTATACAAAGGAAATACTTTAGCCATTTTCCACTGTGAAGGAAAGAGGCCAGTATCTATGGTTTTGTTTATGATACAGGTTAAAGAAGTGGCGAGCCACCAAAAAGAATTCCCTGAAATAAGCTTTGTTTTAGATCACGATCATGTTACGCGGAACGATTCGCAAAGACGATTTTTGGCGCAACACAACGTTGCAATATTGGAACAATGTTGCAACCATTCGAAACAATGTCGCAACAATGATGCAACGCTGTTTTCTACTAAAAATCGGCCTTGCGAATCGTCTCTTGCAAAATCACCAATACCAATAGGGTATCTGGCCGCATCGTTTCGCAACAGTTAACTTGCTGCATGCTTATTCTTATGCGCCGTTAACGAGCAAACTACAATGTAAATGAATGCGAAGTTTTCATCGAGCGACAGTTTCACTTCGTTGCTCGATTGGTTTTGGGTATCTGGTTGCATTGTTTCGCTAAAGTTAAATTGCTGCATTTTTATGCTTTTTCGGAAGACGGTGGTAATACGTTTTTGTAATATGTTAGGAGGACAAATCAGCCAGACACTTTTTATAAGACTAATAGTCACCAGCACTGGTTGTTTAGTCTAATGAAGATAATAGTCACACCTGGTGAAGTTCAAGTATCTTTATCGATGGACACAATTTCTTATATTTGCAGACTACAAGTAGCCTTTTATTTTTGTTTTTAACAGGGAAGTGAGCGTCTTCTTTCCGTCTTCCTTACTGCCATTAAAAAAGCGCTTATCCAATCTGAAGCAGAAACACATTTTTGTAATATAATCTTGACAGGGAATTGGTAAGTAGTTTTTCTGTGCCCAACAATAATTTTGTCTTGCTATATATTGTTCAAGTGTTTTTATTTCAATATGAACAAATATAATTTAATTATTTTAATTGGTTTCTCTCTTCTACCAAGTAGAGCACGAATGTTGCCCCTTTGACCAATAACGAAAGAGTATTTATTCACCTTGATCATGGTGTGAGAAAATCAATAAATTAAACAGCAAAAACAGAAGATCGCCATTATTACATTTCTCTTTATTTTGATGATCTATGATGAGGCTTTTCTCAGGGAGTCACTAAGTCGACAATTAAAAAAATAGCAAAAGAGGTAATAAAAATATATACAAATTGAGGGATTGAAAATCCCGGTATAGAAAAGAGACCTGATTTGAGATCGACAGAGAATTGAGGGCCCCGGCGCTTGGTCAAAAACCACAATACAAACGCGATCACTGTGTTCCAGAATTTCTGCAAGCTTTTTTTTTGGCAGAAGGTTGAATGTAATTTTTCCTCTTTCCCGTCATTGCTTTATTTTTTGACAGCCTTTTGATGGGTTGCAAAGTTAAGTTTCATTGTGTTACCTTTATGTATAGCACAACTTAAAACTAGCAAATGCTTTCCCACCTGCGGGGCATCTCAGTAGTCCGACTCCATATTTTTTTTTTCTGGCCGACCCACACAAAAAAGGGGTGACTTTGTTGTTTCAGCTGTCAATTGAATGGCATTCAGATTACTTTTCACAGGAACAAAAATTTGCATAAGGAGTGATTGCGAAAGGTCGGCTCAAAATGCCACCGGTCGATCAGACGATCAGTGATACTAAACATCTTAAAACAGGCTCGCTGTGATTGTACACTGGTTTTCAAAATATACATTAGCCGATGCCTGGCCTGGTAGTTTTAATTTTTAACTTCTATTTATCGAATCTTAGGATGGATTTACACTGTCGCGAGATTTTAAGGTAAGTACGCGCGTATATAAAATAGAGGCAACGTACGAAGCGCCTCGCGTAAACGCAAAAGTCGAGCGAGTTTCAATTTTAACGTATACGCGGGACATTTCATACAGTGCTTCTAACTATCTGATGCACGTAATTACATACGCGTAGCGCACGTAAAAATTACGCGATAGTGGAAATCCACCCTTACTGACAAAGTTATCAGTGTTTCGCAGCCTTATACTACTACAGGAGAAATTTCTGCAATTTGATTGGCTTAAAGCCGTGGTATTTCAGCTTAATTTGAAATACCTACAAGTGAAAATTACAAACCGTTTGCGGGTAGGGGTATAAACAAATAATTGCATGATTTTTATGTGATATTTGGTATAAATTCCAGCCTTGATATTTCAAAATAGTCTCAAATTTCACTCGCCTAACGGCTCATGAAATTACGTATAACCATTTCGAAATATCACTAGCGGTATTTATGCCAAATATCACTTCAAATCATGCTATTACCTATACAAATACGTTCCGTCATAAAAATTAACAGGAAAAAAATAATCTCAAAGTGCAAGAAGCTTTGTAACGTCAAGAGGAGTTTTCAGCTGTTCTGTCTCGTGATTTTATCCTTTGAACTCAGCAGCAATGCATGAGAGTCAAAGTAAATTCAATTTCACACTGTTCCGTCAAACAAATAATCACGATAAATCAGCACAGGATTTCATTGGTGACACTGGAAACTCCTCCTTGAGCCGGAACTTAGAGTGCGTTCGATTGATTGTAGTCCGGAATAAGAATGCGAAGAAGTCTCGTTACGCCATGAATCTCTTGTACCGTGATTTCTGGAATACTTTAGGTTTCATTTTTTTTATTCTTATTCCAGAACACAGTCAATTGAAAACGCCATTAGTGCTCTACTCTGTGCCTCGTGGTCTGCCATTATTATAATATGCTCGTGCGAGCAGGCGCGTGCCTTATTTCACGAGTGCTTCGTCAATCGCTTAAGTCCCTCTCGGCTTCCACTCCACGCGTCGCCAAAAACCAATTTCGCTAATGAACTATGCAGGCCAGAGCTTAGGAACGTAAAAAAAGAGTGGATCCACAACACGATCATGTTAAAGGTAGACTTATATGGGACTTCAAAAAGACCAAAAGCATCCTCCAGATTTAAGTGGACTGCACATTTTTTTTCTCAAAATTTTACAAACTGTTTTGTGATCTAAGATTTATGAAAATGACTACGCAATTGACTACACAGAACTTTAGAACTGACGACAGCACTGAGTCAGCTGTACAGAGGCAGCGGATGCATCGAGAGTAGCATGTAAGCTGGCGGTGGAAGTTTTTAGCTTCACATCGACACATACTTAAACTATACTCGCATCATCTGATAGAAGACCATTTCGCCCAATCAAGAGCCCGGCACACTCGACAGACCGGGCCGTTAAAAACAGAATACACGCAGGCTAGTCACAAAAACTAGATAATGTTATCTGAACTTCCGCGAAAGGATTCGTCCGATTCATCTCCCAAGTATCTGGCTTGCAACATGCTTCTAGCCCCTTCCCTAGAGTTGGAGCGGTTAGTGTTTTCTTGTAATGGTCTTCGTTCGGGAGGTATCTCTGCAGAATTGGATGGTGATTCTGGTGAAAAACGACGGCGTGAAACCAGCGCAAGACAATACCCAAAGCTACATGTGGGTCCGATGATGCGTTTGCCTACCTTACAGGCCACAAAAGAAGCAGCTGCAAATAATATCAATGCAAAAAGAACAATGGCGACCGTAGGTGTGGTTGATTTTGGTGTTGCCCTCGGTTTCTTAGTGGTTGGTATCTTAATTGTAGGTGAATACGTCGAATCCAGGCTCAGTGAAAGCCCGTTCGGATCAAAGCTGTCCACTCTCTTCCACACCAATGGTGCACAGGACACATTCCCGCAGGATGCTTCGTCGCTCGAGTCTGCGCAATCAGAAATACAATTACATCGTTTACAAGCATCTATTTCGGTGTTCACAGTCTTGCAAGAGAACTTCTCCACATTGCAACGTTTTACAACACAGAAACCTGCCAAGCAATGAAAATGATACGTGATCATCAGGAGTACAGTTTTCAGTTATATTGGCAAATTCTTCAAAACGATACAAGTCCAATATTGTATTATGTAATTATTATGTTTTTGTGTGGACCTGAACTCGTCTGAATATGCGCACTTATTTCTTATTTGTTCAAGAATAGATAAGATGAACAAAAAAGTGAAGGAGACTGAAAAAATCATTCGGTTTAGTGGTGAAAGTAATGAAAATGGAAAACCTAACTCTCGCGTCCCAATAATCTGCCGCTCATAAGTGCCCCCACCCCCTCCATCAGTAGCTTTTCTTGAAATAAATTATATTAATATTACGACCTTTTGAAGCTGAATTAAAAGCAGTAAATGAAAAACGTATTTTGATCAGCACTCCTTTAGTTTGTTTCGACAGGAGCTTCCTGGTTTCGAGGCACTTTTTATATTCCGGCTATAAAACCCCACGGGTATAAGCCCGTTCGTTAATAAGTCCTCATAATTAGGCCTGGTTCAGACGCCGTACTTTTCACGTGCCGAACCTAACTGAATAAGTTCGACTTTGGAGCGACACTGGCGCGACATCTGATTCAGACGGCGTACCGTGTGTCGAACCTAAGTTAAGTTCGACAGAAGTTCGACAGACTCGGTCGAACTTAACGCTTTTGCCGCACCAAACTAAAACTGCCGTACCAAATTGATTCAGACGCCGCTCTTTTGCCGTACTTAATTCATCAGTTAGGTTCGGCACATGAGTGGAACGGCGTCTGAACCGGGCCTTAACCCCTCACGCTGAAGTATTAGCCCTGGGCTAACCTGAGATCAAAGATCAAGCCCAATTTTAGCAGCTTCCATAATTTACGAAGCGAAACGAAAATAGAACCTGATCTCAGGTTGGCTCAGGGCTCATAAACGGCAGTTTACTAGCCTGTTCCTGGCCTTCGCTGTTTTTCCTGCTCACATCTCTTCGCGACCATACCACCACGATCCGAACGCCTAGAGCAGGCCAGCAGTTTCCGGTCGCGCGTACTTTTGATGTTGCTTATTTGAAGGAGTGTACAATATCAACTTTTATGCCTGTCACGCAACCTTCGTTTTCTTTGAGTACAAATGTTTGAGAAGTGAGTATTTTGGTTTACTTGAACAAGATAAACCTATATTTCACACACACCACTTTTTTTAAAGATTAAACCCTTTTTAATCGCATTTAATAGGATACCTTACTCTTTTAAAAACTTCTTATATCAATTAAAATTAGAAGTTCCCGAGAAGTACAGATAGCTACAGATAATTAATTCTTACCAGTTTGATTTGTAGAATATTCTTTCCACGTGCTGTCCTCTTGGCATATAAAGGAGGGAAGTTGGCCGATCTTTCGGTAATCATTTTTGCAAACAAACACTGCCTCTTCCCCGACGTTGAAAAAGTTCTTGTTTTTACCTTCTTGAGATTTCAAAATGGCGCCAATTTGAGAATATTGTTGAAGTAATTTCTGCGTTGTACACGTCGAGTTTGCTTTTGCAACTCTCTTTCTTCGTACCAGTGAAATCCCGTCATGACTTAACGAGCTTTGTACATGTACAGCCGCTGCTGATATTGTGAGAACAAATATCGCAGAGAAAACATAAAGAACCTCCATCCTTAACAATCTCAAAAGTAGAAGGGAACTCGATCGGTGTTAGAATAATTTGCACGCTTGACATCACAATGGTCAGGTGTCATGACAATGAGCATATTTACACTTAACATAACAAAACAGTTTGGAAAAGTATCAATTTTGCAAAAAGTTTTGAAAAAACAAATTTTCGTCGCATGTAGTCTCACGACTCCGTAAAATACTAAATATCGTGTCGGAGGGAACGAAGCAAGGCTGATTTTACAGTTGGGAATATAATTATCGCCAGTATTTCGATTTATTCAATATCTTACAAAGGGCTAGGTAAACTAGCTAAGAAGGACGCTAAGAAGTTACAGCTTAAAATGAAGAATAGCGTGCACTGTGACGTTATAATAAAATGATGAAATAACAAAGGAAGAAGTGAAAGTTGAAAGTATATGAAAACGGAAATTTGAAATGTAAAAATAGTATATACAAACGGAAGGAATATACAGCTATTTCGAGAAAGGTCGTCGGATAAAGTGCACGCGACAACCCCGAAAGGTATTGTGGGTGGTTTTGAGTTTACTCTTTTTCAAAGAAATGGCAGGAGAGGCCATTGACATATGTCTGCCAGTGCTAAAGGAAAGCAACAAAAGTAGGTTCGACAGCAACAGTGTCAAGAACAGTGTATTGAACATATCCCATATTATCTTCGGGATTGTCGCGTGCACATTTTTTCTGACAACCTTTCTCGAAATAGCTGTATGCATTTCATCTTTCCAGAAGCATATGGGGTTATATGCTTCTTATCTTTCTTATTCATACCTAAAGGTTCAAGAGCTTTACTTCTCTCGATGAGGTATGTTCGCCATGTTTGCTTTGTTTCTTGAATCTGGGGCCAGATCTCGTCCCCAGGATCTTTGACCTTTTCTTATCTCGGAAACCGGGCTGAAATTTCTGATGCCGGTAAACGAGGCCCTAAGTGTAATATGTCGTTAAGCGGAGTGATTATCAGGCTATCAGGGGTTTATTTAAAAAAACTTTTACAAGCGTAGTTTACAAGTGTAGCCATTGCAACAGTTTTAGACTCTGAAAACAATAGCTACACATATAAATTAGACTTGTAAAATAGTACTAAAAGTTTTATTAAATTGACCCCAGGGCTCACGGGGCCTTGGCCCCCTAACTTTTTGTGCGAAATAAAAAAATTATTAAAGTTCTTCAATACGTCACAGTTTTTTGACTACCGTAAATCCTCTATTACGCCCGGGGGGGGGACTTATTTATTTCAAACACATTTTAGGAGGGAGGGACTTAACAGAGACGGGGGGCTTATTTAATTTAGCAAAGACAATGGTATCGCAGTCTCCATGACGAACTAGAATACAAAGTGGAAAAGCTAAAGTACAAGAGGTTGGAGGTCATGCAGCCGAGGATCAAAAACAATTAAATCCGAATTTTCAGTTGATAAATAAGCCATCCCATGGATAATAGAAAGTCTCTCTATTATCCATGACCAACCTGGATCAGTACATACGAATTTTTACAGTCTATCATTTATTAGTGAAGAATAATAAGGGGGAGGAGAGGGGGGCTTATTAACTTTCTTGGGGGGCTTAGTAGAGAGAGGGGGCTTATTTGAAAGGAGGGGTTTAATAGAGGATTTACGGCAGATTAAGGATCTTACGAAAAGTGCGACCTGGAGCAAGAGTAATCTCTTTGTTCTTTTTTCTTGTATCGACGCACAGTTCTGATCAAGTTATCTGTATCATAGAGCCATTACTCTCGCGAGTTTTGTGAATAAAAGGGATTTTCATAGTGAGATAGATTTTCTAATCGGAAGATAAGTCACTGCACATCCCTGCTAAAAACCTAAACAATCCCTCACCCCCCCCCCCCCCCCCCCCCCAACCCCCCCCCCCATCCACCCAACACACACCCCCCACCCCACTCCGGGACCAACAAGAAACGCCATAACAAGCAACGAAACAAACACACGAGCACACAAAG